CAGAGTATTATTTAAATGATGAAAAACTGCAAAAAGCTGCAACATAAAGGGACTTGGAGATACTTGCACATGAAACATAGAAAGCTAGCACACAGGTCCAGCAGGTAAACAGGAAGGCTAATGGAATGTTGGCCCTTATTTATATAAAAGGAGTGAAATCTTCTGCAAATCTGATGAGACCACATCTGGAGTACTATGTGCAGTTTGGTTCCCTTTATTTAAAGGAAGATATAATTTCATTGGATGCAGTTTAGAGAAGGTTCACGAGGTTGATCCTTAGTATGTACAAAGGTTAAACACATTGGAATTTAGAAGAATGAGAAGGGATCTCATTGAAACATACAGGATTCTTAAGGGGCTTGACAAGTTAATTGCTGAGAGGATGCTTCACCTTATGGGAGAGTCAAGTGTACCATCCCAGAATAAAAGGGAGCTAATTTAAGAATGAGATGAGGATGAATTTCTTCTCTCAGAGGATTGAGTGTCTCTGGAACTCTTTGCCACAGAGCACTTTGGGGGCAGCATCCTTATGTATATTTGAGGCCAAGATAGGTATATTCTTGATTAGTAGGGGATTCGAGGGTTAAGGGGAAAGGACAGGAAAGTGAATGCAAGTAGTGCTGAATCAGCCATAAGCCCATTGAATGGTGGAGCAGGCAGAAGGGGCCAAATGGCCTACTCCTGTTCCTATTTCCTAAGGTCTTATTAATGGATACTAAGCACAGTACTGATAAATAGATGCTTTGTGGCAGAATCACAAGATAATGATGAGTGAATGTAACTACCTACATTTATTCATCTAAAAGTACCCTCCAGATTCCCTAAATGCAGCAGCAATTTCCAATTCTTTTCACCATCCTCTTGATCCAGGAACTCTTATTTGACATCATCTTCATAAGCTGAAACAGTAATTTATCTGCTATTTGCTCATAACTTGCATTAGTGATCAGCCTCAACTCCACTTTGGATTACTTTTAATGCTGAAATTACACTTTTGTTTTTGGCAACAAGAAACAGGACATTACCAAAATTTGGTCACTGCCTCCTCTAACTTACACATCATGTAAAACAGCATTCTGTTTTACTCTGCTTCATAACAATTCTGCCAACAGAAATGAAAGTCACAAACATAGGACAGGTAATACAGCTCCAGAATCTGAAATCTTCCAAGTCTTTTCCTGTATTATTAAATGGGATGCGGACATTGCTGGCTAAGCCAGAGAGTTTTGTCCATCCCTCATAACCTCAGAAGGTGGTGGTGACTCCTTGAATGTTGCAGGTAGACCCACAGTGCTCTGAAGGAGAGGGAGTCCAGAATTGCGGATATAGTTCCAAGTCAGAATGGTGTACAGGTTGGAGAGCTATCAGCAGGTTTTCCCACACTTCTGCTGCCGTTGTCCTTGAAGGTGACAGCAATCACAGTATGGAAAGCGCTGTCGCAGGAGCAATGGCGAGTTGAGTTTCTTCAGTGCATTTTATAGATGGCACATACCGCTTCCACCATTTATTGCCAATTTAAACAGCCTGCCTGTCCTGGACAGTGTTGAGCTCCAGTGCTGCTGAACTGCACTCATCCAGCAAATGCAGAACCTTCCATCATACTCTTAACTTGTACCACATTAGAAATCTCGAGTAAAAAGCTAACTTAATGGTGACCAATTGTCATAAAAACCCATCATCAGGCTCAGAGGTCCTTTTGGGATACAAATCTGCCAGCCTTACCACGTCTGGCCTTAACATGTCTCTAGCTCCACAGCAGTGCGTTTGATGGCCATATCCCATGGAAGAAAAAAAAAAGAATCGGGGCCTAAAGAATGTAGTACTAAGGGTTATACATTGCAACATCAACATTGTTGTATTTGAGATAGAGTACCACTGTTAATCCTCCTTTCTACTCCTTTTAAATTAATAATAATGCATCAAACAGCTCTTGGGAGGAGTAGTGTAACAAAAAAAAAATCAAGACGTCACCGAAAACTTATCAAAATATCAAGACCAGGGACGATGCACCCCAGCATAATGTTTTGTAGTTATTTTAATCAACCTGTTCCGACATGCTGTGACAGTCCTTCCAGTAGGTGGGATTTGAACCCAAGCCTCTTGGCTTAAAGGTGGGGACATTACTGTTGTATCACAAGACCATCCAGAATCATCCTTTCTATATTAAGCATAAAAGCCTATCTTTCTAATTAAGTATGAGCAGTAATGGGTGAGGATAAACCACTATTGATTCTCAAAGACAACAGGCTCTTGTCTTAACACCGGAATGTAGGTTACTGCATGATAGCAATAGGTACAAGTTATCAATGTTTCCACAGAGATCTGTGCAGGTCAATCGTTTTGCTATGTACGGCCTCTGCTTTCAGAAGCTGCTGTTGCACACAAATCTCAGAGGTTCAGCAACGAAAAAAATTAGAGTGATGGAGTCATACAGCATGGAAACAGACCCTGTGGTACAACTTGTCTGTGCCAACCAGACATTCCAATCCGATCTAGTCCCATTTTCCAGCAGTTGGCCCATATCCCTCTAAACCCTTCCTATTCATATATCCATCCATATATCTTTTAAATGTTGTAACTGTATCCACCACCGACCGCTTCCTCTGACAGCTCATCCTATTTATGCACCACCCTCCACATGAAAAAGTTACCCCTCACGTCCTTTTTAAATCTTTCCCCTCTCACCTTCAACCTCTAGTTTTGGACTGCCCCACCCTAGGAAAGAGACCTTGGCTATATACCACACATGCCTCTCGTGAATTTTATCAACCTCTGTAAGGACACCCCTCAGCTTCCAAAGCTCCAGGGATAAAAACCCAGCCTATTCAGCCTCTCCCTATAATTCTCCAGTCTTGGCAACATCTTCTGCACCCTTTCAAGTTTAACAACATCTTTCCTATAGAACGGCAAACAGAATTGTATGCAGTATCCCAAAAGATGTCTCAACCATCCCCTGTACAGTCGCAACATGACATGCCAACTCCTATATGCAGTATTCTGAGAATGTTGGCAACAATGAGCATTTAGGTATAACTACACAGAGTTGATGATAGGTTTGCCCCCACTGAGGCATCATGCTAAACCTCTCCTTCGTGCAAAGGCATGCAATATCATTATATGTCCAGACAGGAATGAGCTAATGCAGCTTCAAAAATAACTTTCTCAGAGCCGTTACCTTATTGCACAATACTGAGTTGCCCTCAGGTGAGCCAGGGTTGAGGATTCATGCTGAGGGTAAAAGGAAGGTCCAAAAACAAACATGCAGTTAAATCACGCTGAAGTATTTCTGAAGTGTCTCAATTTAAATGTCATCAAAAAATACCACTGCAGCAGCTATTTAGGGAATAGAACTAAGTTCACTTGTTGATCAGTACTTTCCTAAAAATTATTTATAAATCATATTCCAGAGCACAATTAAGTGAATGTTAAGGAATGTTAGAAGCATTCTATCTACGTCAACTGAGTCTCATTGAGTATTACTTTAATAAATAGCTGTCAATATACACAGAGGGTAAACAAACAACTGACTCATATGTGAGTGTAGCTTTGCAAATTCTGTATGCAAGATTAGTTTTACATACCCAGCTGAAATGCTAAGCTATGGATTTCCTGGGTAAGCATAAATCATAACTGCCAATCCCAAGAGAATTTACGTATCAGTAATCTCTAAGAGATTGTGTCTATTTATGTCCGGTTGAAGAAATCTCATTCATCTGTAGTAACCACATTAGTGTTAAGTATTTATCATACAACTACATCTAGCAAAGGCAATGCAAAAAGCCAAATTAACTGTTCCAAATTAACAATTTCAACCCAAGACAGAGGTCCATGCTTCCTGCAGTATTAGGTTCTACTCTCCATGGCTAAATGTACACATCTCATGCGCTTCAGCCTTCCTCTGTTTTCCACAGTCCAATAAACAAAGTGCAAGAAAAGAAGAAACACAAATCCAAAATTATCAGAAGGATGCATGAAATTCAGATAGAACAAAATATTGTGTGGGAGACAAGGTGAGAGTTACAAACGACTTATATTTCCATCAGCGATGCAACAGTTAATCAACTTATTTGCAATAAACTAACAGGGAGAGGACAAGCCGAAGGGAACAGTGTCAGAGACTAGCAGCTGAAAACAAGTAGTCAGTTGGCAGCAAATGTATGGGTTCCAAGGAAAAAATTGCCAAGACTCTTAGATAAAAGCAAGGACTCACTGTGAGACAGAGAACAAATCAGAGAGCCAGGGATTCAGAGAAAAGAGAAACAGCATTGAAAGAATTAATACAGACAAAAAAAGAATAACCAGGTGACCTCAGAGGTCAGCAAGTTATTTAGAGAGCCGAGCTGAGGAAAGAATAGCTGATGAGGTTTGCGGACAAAGCAGAGGTCAAGGTGAAAACAAAGCATCATCGGTACGAGCAAAGTTAAGTAAATTATTAACAACAGTATTAACACAGAGGTCCAAAAGCATTAAATGAAATTAAAAGTTAAAATCTAAAACTACCTTGATGAAAACAAGGGAATAAAGATTCTCTTAGGTCATGGGCTGGCAGTTTAGACCTACTACGTGTACTTCGTATACCATGTGGAAACGTCATGCATCAAGCATCTTTAGGAACTGCACGAGTTGAAAAGCTTCTCCTGCTCCGGCTCAGAAACTTTGAGCTCAAGGTCTGTCAAGTCACTGTGCATCAGGGAGGATGCATTCTTTGATCGTATTCCAACAGGCAGTCACCCCACAGATTGGGAGATGGATGGCACCCCAGAAGGTAGGAAGAAGAAAGTATGGAGTCTTCAGAGTGTGGTTGACTCTCAAACAGATATTCAGCATTGTAGGTTGCTTTTTAAAATTTGTTCATGAAACATTACTATCACTAGCTGGCCAGCATTTATGGCCCATCCCAGACTGTCCTGGAGAAGGTGGTTGTGAGCTGCCTTTGAGGGAAGAGTCACCCACAATGCTGTTAAAGGGGGGTATTCCAGGATTGTTGGGCATGTCAATACCTTCAAGGGCTGCAACCTATACAATGGTACAAATGAGCGAGGAAAGAACAGCAAAGCGTAAAAATTAAATAATTACAGAAAATTCTAGTCAGGCAGACAGGCAGATATTTCTGTTACCACCTGAGTATCCCAGTGTGTTGTCGCCCTGGTGGGCTTGGACAAAGGACATCACAGACGGTGCAGAACATTCAGCAGGAGAAAGGGAGTGGATCAGAAGTTATAGCGCACATCAGCATCAACAAAAGGCGGCAGAGGGCAAGCAGTGAAGTAATGGTAACAACTGCAAAGGGACAAACTCCACACTCCACTCTCCATCCACAGCATGTGGACCAAAATGTCTGTGGGAGAAGACTAAAGCAAGAATGATCATTGCAGACGTTTAGGCTAGTAATGGAGAAGACGAAGGAAAATTTAATACTTAGCTGAAAATTAGAAGCAGATGAGCTTTAATGGGATGACAGGGTACCTAGCCAAAGTAAACTGGTACCAGACAATGACAGGAAAAATTAAAACAGAAGAATGAGAGATCTTTGTAAAAAGGTACAGGTGAGATACATTCCAATAAGAGTGAAATGGAACGAAAGCCAGGAATCCACGGATGACATTAAAAAAATAGAGCTTATGGTGAAATGAAAAGAAAATAGCACCTAAGATGCATATTAAGGTAAATTCTTCAAGCCAGAGTCAAGCCAAATACATGTGGAAAGGGGAGGAAAAAGTGGAAAATTAGGCTGGCAACGAGTGAAAATAAGAACAATACAGCAGGAAACCCAACAAAGCGTTGTTAGGGAGACAGTTGGGTTCATGAGCAAAGAAAGTGACATATGTTCAATGCACAGATCAGGGTTATTATACTTGAATACATTCTACTAGTGCTTAGAAAGGAAGAGGATGCTGACAAAATCTCAGAAGTGGAAATGCTAAGATCGTGGATAGAGTGAAAAATCAATAAGTAGGGTATAATGGAGATTAAGAGTAAATTGATTCAGACTTAAGAAAAACTAGTCTTATTTGGGGAGACAGTGGTGGTGCAGTGACCTAACACTGTGGGCATATGGATGCAAATTTCACTATGGCAACTGGTGGAATTTAAATTTGGTTGATTAAAAATCTAGAAATGAAAGCAAGTCTCAGTAAAACTCAACATGAAAATACATCAATTGTCATAAAATCCTATTTGATCCACTGTCTTATAGGGAAGGAAACCTGTTTTACTTGCTTGATTCAGCTATACAGCAATGTAACTGATACTTAGCCAACTTCTGAAATGGTTTAGCAAGACACCCAGTTCAAGGGCAATCACAGGTGGGAAAAATATGCTGGCCTCGTCAATAATGTCCATATCCCATGAAAGGATGAGGAGACACAGTATTATTGCTTCAGGGCAGATGGTGGAGAGGATGGGAGGAATAATGACGTAACAAATAATAATGACCTGCAAGGTTCTACCTTTAAGGGTGATAGAAACAGAATGATTGATTTCAAAAGGAAGCTGAATGGTTTCTTCACTGGAGGAAAATAAACCCAAAAGGTGACAAGAATTGAGGAGGGCTATGAAACTGACTGCTCTTCGAGAGTCACCATAAACCTGGTGAGCTAAGTGGCTTCTCGAATGCCACTATGACCGCAGACTCTTCAATTTCACTTGAATTGTCCAGATTCCCACCAAGAAAATCTCTCGTTCTCAAGTTCTATAATATGGAAATTAAGAATTTCAAGCTGGAAAATGCGGGAACTTTCATCACAACCTTGCAATTTCAGCAAGTAACCTAAATAACTAAATTTAACAGTCCTTAAAACAAAGGTTGTTTTCAATTGGTTGACTTTAGTACAGTTAACTTAACTTTTACCTCTGTCAAGAGAGCAAAATATTTTAATGTTACACTGAACTTCACACAAATCTAAAAGAGCCACCAATTTTATTAAGGACAATGATGATAAAGACTGTAGACAAGATTTTTGTTCCTTGGTGACGTTATATTAAAGAGTTGTGAATGCAGAAACATAGGAAAAGGAACAGGCAATCGACACCCTCAGGACTCTCCCACCATTCAATCACATCACATTGATCAAGACTGTAACACCATCTAGATATTTTCAACCACATGAAACAAAAAAGTAATAATCTCAATTTTGAAATGTCTGATGAAAGGTCACTGACAAAGGAAGTCAACTCTGCTTTCTCTAACATAAACCATAAGATATGCTGAGTATGTGTAGCAATTTCAGTTTTTCTATTATCTATTTAGCCAGTTATTTCATGCTTTCCAATTATACTGAACTCATAGCTACAGTGCTCAGTTTTCATGCATCTCTCAAGTCAAATTATGGCAAAAGCCACACAATTATTACTCCAATAAATGCATACTTTTTAAAACCTCATAGGCAAATTGAATGCATTTTTCCATTAATGAGGTGGACATCTGTAGCAGGCTGGGCCAGCAGTTACAGTGCATCACGACTGATGCTCAAGGTGGTGGTGGTGAGCAACCTCTTGACCTGATGGCATTCATGTGCAGGATGTACTCCTGTAGAGTTGTTAAGGAGAGATTTCCTAGAAGTTGACAGAGTGACTATGGTGGCTCAGCAAGTCAGGAGATATACAACTTGGAAGGGAACTTGCAGGAGGTGCTACTCCCATGCATCTGTCAGCCTTGACCTTCTGAAGTACAAAGTTTAGAAGAACCTTTCACAAAATGCTGAGGAACAACTTGTAGATCATCCATACATTGCCAGGGTACAGAAATAGTGGAGGGAGTCAATGTTTAAAATAGTGGATGGGTGCCAATCAAGTAGGCTGCTTTGCCTTGCTCGGTGCTGAACTTGAATGCTGCGGGAGCTGAACACATCCAGACAAATGGCAAGAACTCCACTATTCTCCCGACTTATGACTCGTCGATGGAGGACAGGCATTGATAAATACTGAAAGTTTTCCACTGCAGAACATCCTGCCTCTGACCTGCACTTACCGCCACAATTTTTCTGAATGCAGCCAGCTAAGTTTCTCACCAATGACTTATTCTTCAGACAACCTAACTACTATGCTGCCATTCCTCAGCCTAAATGAAATGTGTTTGTTCATGTTTATTTCCTGACTACTTTCTGATGGATTGATTGGCACCACAGGCTCAGAAGGATGATTTCATACAGGGCACAAAATAACACACTCCCTACAACAGAATGATTGCAATAATTTCCTCAATATCACAGTATTCAAATTAGCACAAGCTTTTCCAAATAATTGACACATACTTCAACACAAGTCTTAACTTTAAACATCTTTTGCAAACTGGTAACATCACTGCTAGTGCTTTCCTATTGCATATTCATAAATCTTCAATATTTTAAACAAGCAGGTACTAGCCTTTTTACTGCATCTTTGATTTACTTAAAACACCTAACACACCACCTGGAAGTTAACCTCCAAGTTGTATACCGTCATGAGATGGAAATCTCTCCTGAGCAGCAGTGGGAGTAGCTCCCACACATGAACTCTAGTGTTTATTAAAACAGCATCCATGACAACCTTCCCAAGGTTGTAGTGCCTGAACGTACACAGACTTAAGATAGAGAAAATAGTCATTTGCAAGTAATTCAATACTTCAGTGACTTCAAGTTTTCCTTGCTCCCAGTCTTCCTTTATCGACATGTCTGAAACAACTCTCTTCTTTGCAATTCCTTCTATCTCTCAAACCCTCATAAAGCCACCCTTTCTCTCCCATACCCTTGGAACCTCCCTCAAAGCCATCATTTCTCTCACACATCCCTGAAGCACTCCTTCCGCCCTCACCCCTCCTCCCCACGCCGCCTAAAGCCTCCCACTTAAAGGGAATTAATAACCGAGAATAAAGAGCAAGCTTTCCACTAGACAGCAGAATGCTGGAAATATTTGTAAGTCAGGGACTGAATGAGGAGGAGGGGGTGTGGCTCATCGCGTAAATGAAAATTACCAGGGAAGTAGGACTGAATAAACCGTTGGAACCTCAAACTGACAAGTTCCAAGGTCCGAACAGATTTTGTCCTACGGACTTAAAAGCAGCAGCTAGTGCGATATCCCATGCATTAGTTTTAATTTTTAGTAACTCATTATTCAGGAAAGATTCCTTTAGATTGGAAAATAGCTGACATTACTCCTTTATTCAAAAATGGAGGGAGACAAAGCAGGAAACTATAGGTCAGTTAACTTAACTTCTGTCGTAGGAAAAAATTAGAAGCAATTATTAAAGACAGCATAGCACAGCATTTGGATAAGTTGAAAGTAATAACGCAAAGCTGACAAAGCCATATTAAAGGGAAATCATTTAACTAATTTATTGGAGTTACTTGGCGATGACATAGTGGTGTTATTGCGCGACAATTAATCCAGAGACCCAGGTTCTAGGGACCAGATTCAAATCACAACCAAGTAGATGGTGGAATTTGAATTCAATAAAAGTCTGGAATTAAGAGCCTCATGATGACCATGAAACCATTGTTGATTGTCAGAAAAAAGCCATCTTGTTCACTAACGTCCTTTAGGGAAGAAACTACCATCTTTACCTGGTCTGCTCTACTTGTGACTCTAGACCAACAGCAGGAAATCAGCTGATGGAATGTTGGCCTTTACTTCAAGGGGGCGTCTTACTACAACTGTACCAGGTGCTGGAGAGACAACACCTGGAATACTGTGAGCAGTTTTATTTAAGGAAAGATATTATTTCCCTGGAGACAGTTTAGAAAAGATTCACTAGAATGATCCATGGGATGGAGGGATTGTCTAACGAGTAAGGGCTAAACAGGTTGGGACTCTACTAAAGTTTAGAAGAATGGGAGGTGATCTCATTGAAACATAAGATTTTTAAGGAACCTGACAGAGTAAATGCTGAGAGGATGGAAGAATCTACGACCAAACAGCATAGTCTCAAAATAAAGGGACCAATTCAAGGCTGAGATGAGGAGGAATTTCTTCTCTTAGAGGATTGAGCATTTTAGGAACTTCTTACCACAGAGAGCTGTGGGGCTGAGTCTTTGTATATATTTAAGCCTGAGGTAAATAGATTCTTGATCAAGGTTAATCAAGGGTTACAGGGAAAGGGTAGGAAAGTGGGCGTGAGGAATGCGGAATCAGCCATGATCCTACTGAATGGCAGAACAGGCTCGAGGGGCAGAACAGCTTACTCCTGTTCCTCGCTTCTTAGGGTCTTAGCAATGTGGTTGACTGCCAACCTCACTCTGAAATTTGTGAACAAGCTATTCAGTTGTATAAAATGCTAGAAAGGGGAATAAAAGAATGAAAATAGATGGACCACCTGGCATCAATATAGGCACTGGTAATGAAACCAGCAAAAAAAATAAATAACTCTGTCAGCCCTGCAAATTCTCCTTAACAAAATCTGGGGGTCAGTGTCAAAATTGGAAGAGCGGTCTCTCAGACTCTTCAAGCAATAACCATGAGGTCCTCAAAATTGGCTCCAGATACCATGAAATCTCACAGCATTAAGTCAAGACACCTACTGATTAGCATCCCTCAGCTGATGAATCCATTCTCCTTTCCTCCACAGTCAGCAACACTTGGAAGGACACTAAGGGTGGCAGGGTGCAGAATAAACTCTAGGTAGGAGATCAGAGCAAAAGATATGGCTGAAGTATCGCAGCAATCTTCAGCCAGAAGTGCCGAGCAGATGATCCATCTCGGCCTCCTCCAGTGGTCCCCAACATCACGGATACCAGTCTTCAGCTGATTTGATTCCTTCCACATGATACCAAGAAACAGGTGGGGACACTGGATACTGCAAAGGCTATGGGTCCTGACAACATCCCATCAACAGTACTGAAGACTTGTGCTTCAGAACCTGCCATACCCCTACAGAACCTGTTCCAGTACAAATGCTTGGCAATGACCATCTCTAATCAGAGACAATCGAATCACTGCCCATTGACATTCAATGGCACTGCCATCAGTAGATCTTGCACTAACATTACCATTGACCAAAAACTGAAGTGAACTAGCCATGAAAATACTGTGGCTACAAGAGTAGGTCACAGGCTAGAAATCCTAAAGCAAGTAACTAACCTTCTGACTCCCCTCTCCATCATCGATAGGGCACAAGCCAGCAACGTGATGGAATACTCACTTGCCTGGATGAGTTCAGCTTCAACAACCCTCAAGAAGTTTGACACTATCCAGGATAAAGTAGTCTACTTGATTGGCACCATATCCACAAACATCCACTCCCTCCACCACCAACACTCAATGGCAGCAGCGTGTACCATCTACAAGATGCACTGCAGATAATCACCAAGATTCCGTAAGCAGCGCCTTCCAAAAATACAACCACCACAATCCAAAAGGACAAACGCAGCAGATACTTGGGTACACCAAGGCTGTAATTACTTAGAGTCAAATTAAAAATATCCAAGTCAAACCACTAGCAAAAAGTCAGATGATCTCTGGCTACTCTGATTAAAAACCTATCTGCGAAATTATTAAAAGTCAGATATTTGCTATTTTAGTACAGTGCTCATTATTACTTACAGTTTGACTGAAGTCATAGGAATATAATCACACATTTAGTTATGAACACTGCCGCACTCAGCACACATGAATCTTAAATTACAAGCACGTGATTGCATGCATGCAATATTAATCAACAAATGCACTCATTGTATTGTATAGGCTAAATCAACAACACATTTCCAACTAATTCCAATGAGAAATCGTTTTCAGTGAAACATTAAAAATAATCACATGGTCTTAGCTTTAGTTGAATACTACCTAACTTTCCCATCATTCTTACCAGAAACAGTAACCGTTGTTCCAGGATCAATAATCCCACTATTAGGTCGGACACAGTACCGACGTGGTGCTGTAGTCTTCACTTTGAAGCATACTTTCCTATCTGCTGGGTTTTTCAATTTGAGGTTTGTAGTCACAACATCTGTAAATGGACCTGCATAAACACATTTTTAAAAATCAATTTAAAAAGGACAAACTTGTATATTCAAACTTTCATAATCAAGCAATTTTGATTCTGTATAACTATAGGATACATGTTCAATAAATTGCCTCGAATTGAAGATGTGAACTTATCAGAAAGACAGAGCAGCAGAGTTTTAAACTCCAATTTTAGAATTCGAGAACCTCGGAATTGTACAATTTGCACAGCTTAAGAGGCAGCCATTTTGCTCATCCTGGAGAAGCAATTACCTCAGTACCATTCTCAACACTTCTCTCCTTCCTTTAGGGATAATAATCCAATTGCTTCTTAATACTTCAATTGAATATGCCCCAACTGCACGCAGGCTATGCAATCCAGATCCCAACCGCCCACTGCATTAAAAAAGTTTTTCCTCATGTCTCCATTGCTTCCTGTGTCAAATATTAAATTGTAGACCTGTGAAATGTAGACCTGCATCATTTCTGAAATGAAACATGTTCATGAAGGTAACAAGGTGTA